ATACCTCTGCCTCCTTTTGTAGGTAAAAGGCGTTGACCTTTTCGAGCTCTCGTTCCTGTTCGAGAGTCAGTAAGTACGTTGGGAAGTTCATCGCACTGACCCATGACTGGATACATACCAATTGGAAGAAAAATGTGGCCTTGTTGGCCTGAAGGGCAGCCTGGGAGTCTATAGATATTGCGGAGCGGAGATGGTCATGTTGTGCGCTCAGCGTGGGCGTAGCCGACAATTTCTTGATCAGCTAGTAGCGAATGTCAGTGGTAATGCCGAATGTGATTAGCTATTGCCATGGGGGCTTGCTCCATTCACTTGCCCCTGACGGGACAGTGTCGGGTACCGAGTTGACTAAATTCTAGAGGGGGTTTTTCTCCTTTTTGTGGTTTGCATACCAAGCTTCCATCCAATGCAGAAGAGAAGCGAGAGAACGGGGTAACAAAAGGGGGATAGAGACTGAAGAGGGAACTGCCGGACAACGAAACGTACCTTTTTGAGAGCCTTGTAGTTTACAAAACTAGCGGCATACTCTGGAACTTCAAGCTGACGCTTCTGAATCTGCTTGCCGAACTTCCTGCTGTTATATCAGCACAAGTTCGCCAGTGAGAACACACTAGGGGTTAGCTAGGGCCAAGAGACTGACATGATGGACGGACGCCCGTGGGATCACGGTGTCCAAAAGTGATCGTTGTAAGAGAGAGCAGCCTATGTGCCCTCCAGTAGTGGCAAGCTGACAGTGGATGTCTGCAGGGAGAAAGCTGATGACAGTAGGAGGCTCTGCGGGTGTGATTATGCGTCGGCGGCAGGCAAGCAAAGTAGCCACTCGCACAAGGGTATGCTGAGTGACGTCGCCTCGTGGCAGAGTTGTGTAAAACAGCTGCGGGTTAATGTAGAGAACCGTACGTGGGGTGCTCTTCAGTGGCGCAAGCTAATGGGATGACGAGTCGGGGGAAACCAAGGCCTTTTTTGGCGATCAGCAAGATAGAATCCTGCCGCGTGAGGTAGACTGAGTAGCGGACAAAGACAGGCGAATATCCAAGTTGAGGTAAGGATTCGAAGCTGTTGGTTGAGTTAGAATTTGAAGGTCTAGATTAAAGGGGACGATGATCGGGAGATATCCCTCGTGCAATAAGACGACCGCTTGGCCAGTAGAGCCACCAAGTAGCTATGACTGAAAAAATTGAGCACGCAGAAGGAGGAGCAGGAACCCATAAGCAGCACCCGTAGAGAAACTAGGTCATAACGAGCAAGATGGGTAGTAGGTGGGGGTATTCTGAAGCTATCCCGGGCATGCCTCGGTGACAACCAGGCTCTGAAGAAAGAGGGGCAACAACGCACGCGGCTCTAAGAACATGGACATGGTCAGGCATTTGCTTTGAACAGGTGCCACAAGTAGGTAATAGTTATTGATGCCAGACGCTGCGTGGGGGCAGGGAGAACGATGAATGGTTGCAGGTACTAGCAACCAGTGGATGGCAACATACCATGTCAGCGCCAGTGTCGGATGGCACACCCGTTATTTGTCTCCGATGAGGAAAGCAAGGTCTGAGTTGGCCCAGGACCAGATCTAGTTACGGGTTGGACGGGGGGTGAGGTTAGGAAAACCAGGCGCGGCCGGGGACCAGAACATCGTCCTGTCCAGGGTATTGGCACCGTTTCCTAGTCTGACTGGGGAATAACAGGAAACGAGTGCGTCGTCGACCTTGGTGATAGGGGTTATGCAAAAGAAGCAGTAAAGCATGGATCGAGGGGTAGAAAGAGAGGTGATGTGAGTCGGAGTGTAATCAAGACGAAGGCAAAGGCAAAGACAAAGGCAACAGTAAACAGACTTGCGCCGAATCGGAGCAGATCACGAGATTGATTGTTGAGAGACATTCATGCTTACCGATCAAGATAGCAGGTTCAAGCGGTGATTGCTTCAACCTATGCTCTTTTGGATGAGAACAGTGATGTCTGGAGTTGCCGTAAGTTGCGGCCGTGGCGTATGCGTCTGTGTTGGTGTCGTGTGAGAGTGACGTCGAATTAGGCAAACCGAGGATAGGTCAGATGAGTGAGTTGTATGGTTCTGCAACTCTACCTACCTCATCGGTATGTCGAGGTTTGCAGGGCGGCGGCGGTAAGAATGACAGCAGCCCAGATCTAGACTTCGGATTTGGGGAGTGGTGAATGAGAAGTGAGATGCGACTCTAGAAACCCAAATTCCAAGGGGTCCAGATCAGGAGGTACTGTGTGTATCTACCTTTCCTCACTTCTCTCTCTCTTTCTCTCAAGACGATGGGCTAGCAGGGCAGGCCGTAGTGGCAGAGGCAGTTGGCAGTCAAAGTCGTGAAATGTAAATGGGTGCCGACCGGGGTCTTGGCCAACCATGGTATCGGTCTGGCCAATAGCAGGTCCGAGAAGCACCAGCAACGGGCCAGAGTATGGGTCCACCTGCCGGCCCTGGGTACGTGCTTCCATTGGGAAGTTGGGTCTGGTTATTCTTGCCCGTGCAGCATGTGCTGCGTGCAAGAGAGCAAGAGCATCGATCAGCCCCTCCCCTGTCTAGCTGTGAGGTGCGGGGTACCTTTTCTCTTGTCACTCCTGCCACCCTTGCCTACCTGCTAAGGTACCTAAAGTAAATGCGCACTGAAGACGACGTTACACCTGCGAGAACTGCAAGAGCTGCGAGAATCATCCACTCAGATTCAACTGGGCAAGAAATGGAAGGCATCAAGTGTGGCTCTTTGACTGTTTTGCGGCCGGTGCCCTGCCGTTTCGCCGTACTCGGAAAGTCTCCCAACGTCGACCTACGATGAGCTCCCAAGGAACATCTCGCCTACAATCTATCACATACCTACTAAGTACCATATCATCGTACCTTGTGCCTCTGCCCCCTTCCGACCTTGTCTGCCCTGGTCAAGATCAAAGCGACCATCCTCTGCTTGTACCTACCTACTCGGGCAAGTTCTCGCGCCATCTCGGAAACGAGAAAATAGTCGGACGACCTGAACCATCAAATGTACCCGCTTTGTGGCAGTTCAACAACGCATTGTGTCTGGCAGTGTATAATATCACAGAAACCGAGCACGTGTGCCATTTCTCACTGCCTCAGCGTGGATCCTGGAGGGGCCTGAAATTCTCGACGGCCGTGTCCGTTTTGCCAGAGCTCCCTTCCTACCTACTTTTCAATAGCCGCAGCCGTCACCAGCAGTACGTCGACAACATGTACCCAAAAAACATGTACATGGCCTCAAGGAACACCCGTGGAGTCCACCTCCCACCCACACATGCGCTTGATTCGCTTTCCCCCAAAGCCAAGTCTTCAGATCGCCGGCCAATGACGGCTCGCACACGAACCACGTTTTCCTCTCGATGTGCCAAGCACAAGGCTGAGAGAGGCACAACAGCACACTGCCAAAAACTCGGGGCGTTGAACTGTTGGAAAATTCCTGTCTCTATTTTTTTTCGGCACAAAATCACAACCTCTTCCACACCTGGATCCGAGATTTTCCATTCGACACTATTCATTTTTCGGTTCTACTTAATCCTCTCTCTTCTCGAGAAATTGTCCGGTCTAGCGAAGCCCTATACGGCTCAATGGACTTCCAATTTCACCGAGACGTGCCGTTGAGGGGTAGTGCTCAAGGGCGACAAGTACCGTTCAGAACCCTACTCTGGCCATCTCCTCTAGCTGGCTTTCGCCAAATCATTTTGGGTACGAAGGAAAAGGCCCTCTCAGCTCTAACTGATTGGGATGTTTCAAGCCCAGACTTGCAGCAGCAGGAGCTCCAGCAACCTGCATCAATACGGAACCAGCCGGAGTGGTGGGCAGAAAAACCACATCAGAACTTCCCCGTCCAATCAAGATGGTGCGGGGCACATCAACCCGCGAGGGGGGCATCCAACTCATAGCGGCTACTTCTCGCTCTTTCGCTTCGCTTCGCTTCACAAACTGTTGGCGAGTCCAACGACCCAGAAAGCGGGTGATGCGATACGTTCCCAGCCCGCTGTTATTGATGGGTTTCTCAACTTATATTGTAAACCCTTGCGAATCAAAATGCTTGTTTTTTGGTCGGATATAGGGGCCAATCAGCAAAAGACTACCATGGAGCCCATCAAAGCCCGAGGATGGGGACGGGATGGGGTTCCAGAGGTCATCGTGGGGCATAAACAATGTCAACTTGGGCATGGGCTCCTTTGAATCATCTCGTCTGTGAGCCAGAATCAGCAGTTGAAGGACGCTACTCACTAATACGCCTGGGCCTTTCTACCGCCTCGGATCGGTTATATCACGATATGACTGCTCGGGAATGGGACGGCAGCATGGCGGGGCATATCAGCTGCATGCTACCTTACCTTGACATGTTTGCATCCGCAGGCCATCCTGAACCTAGGCAACCTGGCAAGCGGCCATGCTGGAAAAGGCCGCGGCCCCCATCCCCATCCGCCGCTTGCCGCATCGCGAACGACAGCCATATTCACAACGTACGCATACGTCAGAGACCGATCGCCCATACTAGGGTCTTTTGCGAGTATTACATCCCGTATGCTTCGTATGCTTCGGGGTCTTCTTACCCGTACATCATCATCACGCCTCTCTCTATGCAAGATCCGCGTGACCTTCCTGTTTCTATGTGTTCCAACTTCCAACTCACACCAACGCCAAGTCGGCAAATCGGCCTAGTTCCTAGGCGACAACATGAAATCCGACTCTGGTATTCTTCAACAATGAGTGAGGAACTTGGGCAACAGCAACACAATTGCGGGATAATTTCAATTTAGATGTCCTAACTAAAGGTACGTTTCCTAGTGAAATGGAAAGGGGGAATCATGAAAATCCCAGGTTCGCCATGCCTCCCGAGAACCCCCCCCCCCCTCCCGGTTTGCCAGGCTGTCTTCGTCGTGTCGCTCAAGCCATGGCGTGGGGGGTTTTGGATATCTGAAAATGAAAGTAGTGTATCAACGCAAAAGCCACCCTTACTTCCTCAGATCACAACAGCCAAGCCTCGCCCTGGAGGTTCAAAATCTCAATTCTTCTTGGCGTCAGCACCAGCCGTCTCGCCGCTCTTGGACTCGACGAGACTATCCGCCATAGCCTCGGCTGCGGCCTTCTTGAGCCTTTCGCTGTCCTCAGAGCTGGCGCCGGCATCCTTGGTAGTAGTATCCTTGCTGGTGGACGCGACCTTCTCCTTTGCCTCCCGCTCGTCTTCGCTGTCGCCCAGGCTGAAGGGGTCGTTGTCGCTGATGGGGTTCGGGTCGACCGTCGACAGGGGCTGCCACTTGCTGGCCTTTGCCTTTGAACCGGACAGGTCTTCGGCGGAGCGTCTGGGCGACGAGCCGTACACGTCAATCTCCTCGGCGCCTTCCCTGAAGGCCACCTTGCGGCCGTCGTGGGGCTTGGGCGACTTTGAGGGTGGAGGGGGCTTGTAGAGGTCAGGGTTTGACAGAGGTCTGTTGTTATCGCGGAGAGGCGCTGGGTCCCATTGTTAGATCGTGCGGGATAGCAACAGGGCCAAAGGGGGGATGTAGCCGCGGAAAGGGGCATCGGGACTTACTTCCGTCGGCGGTGAACTTCATACCCGCGAAGTCGTCGCTGAGCACCTGAGGATCGGCGTCGTATCTCTCGTAGTCGCCGCTCCGACGGCTCGACTCGCCGGGTCGTCGGGCGCCATACTGGCCCTGGCCCTGGCCTTGACCCGGCCACTGGTGACTGGATTCATCCTCGTCGGCAAACTCCTCGTCAAACCTCTTCTTCATTGTGGTGATCCAGCTGTTGACCTTGCCCTGCGTCTCCACGAACCCCTTTCGGAGCTTCTCCTGAATCACCGGCAACTCATCGTCAAAGAAGTTGGGTTCGCGGTCCTCGGCGTTCGGTCTGGGCTCGAGGCCGGTCTGCTGCCTCCTCACACGGCCGCCGCCACCGCCGGGGCTCCGGTTAGAGGTTCTAGCTTCGTAGCTTCCGACATTGTCAAAATGCTCCGCCAGCTGTCGTGCGTAGAGCTCGTCGGCTTCGAGCTGGGACAGCTGCGCGCCGCCCTGGGGGCGGGGAGGCTGGGGAGGGGGTTGTTCGTCGGTTGTCTCGTGCTGGGCCGCATCGGGATCAGTCATTTCTATATCGGGGCCCTGTCAGTAAGAGAACTTTGTTGGCGGTTTTTGGGTAAGTGATGGGGGGTCACGCGACACATACCCAAGAGGGCATTGAAAGCCGGATCAATCTTTCCGCCGCTGGCTCTCAGGACCGCCTTAACGACGGAGATGTCGATGCTAGGAAAGGCCTCCTTCAAGATGTCCTCCGTCTTCTGCGTCTCGCCGGAGGGTCTCGGGGGCTTTGGTGGGGCCGCTTCGGCGGCGACGGGTGTCGAGGAGGTCATGTTAGACGAGGTGGTGTTGGTGTTGGTGGTCTTGGTGGTAGCCTGAGATGTAGTAGGAGCCTCACCGCCGAGAACACCTGTTTCCTGGATGTCTTCGTCGTCGGACAGATCCAGGGGTCGGACTGTTGTAGGCGACTCAGGCCCGCTCGAGGAAGTAAGCTTGTTCTGTGGAAAAAGAGATGAGGGTGTCAGTCTCTCTCTTGACAGGGTACATGTGCATGAAGTTTGGGCTCGTTTCGGGGGACGGGATATATGCGCACTGTTTCGATGGGGGCAGACATGACTACTGTTCGGTCGCTCTCCAGTACTTCTTCTCTCCTTGGGAGAGAGTTCGTCTCGGTGCAAGATGAAGGTCCCCAGCAAAATAAAAGGAGTAGCTAGCAGGCAAGTCTGCTGAAGGATGGAGGGGGGGTAATTTGCTTGCTTTCGCGAGATTGTTAGGTGCAAGGACGTTGCGGAATGCGCGCGCCCGGACGGAGGGGTTGGAGACTGGAGGGTACCTTAGCTGGCGAGATGACATTAAAGTGGGTTACGAAGCTGATGACGCCGCGCCTCCTTTGGGGAACTGGGAACTTCTAGGCGCCAGCTTGAGCTTGATGCTGAGCCACAATCCTACCGCCACACTTGTCGTCAGATTGTACCAAGTGATCCTGACAGCTTCTTTTCCATCACGATAACCCCTCCCGCTGCTCCTTTAGTTGCTTAAAATACCCTTGAAATAGACAAGATACAGGAAGCATCAAAGAACGTTGTAGATCAAGTCATTTAGGTACAAGGGCGATAAAAAGATGGAAAGGGAGACTTTAGATGCTGAGCGGCGTATTATTATGTCAGCTATTTGACAATGTAGGTTGAAGCCTATGATGGGATGCAATCAGAGATTGCCACCTGATCTCAGCTGGTGACACTCTGACCAGCCAAAATTGCAACGTTCAATGTCGACAACCACTTGCAAACGAGGCCAATTGTGAGGCCAAACCACACTTACAAGAAAAGCTGGCAGCCAAAATGAGATGCATAAGGTGACAGACCTATTGTCTTACAATATCTCTCATATCTTGATGATTGATGTAAGGTCAGTTGCCAGCATTTGAAGGTAAAATCGCCACATTGAATAAACATCACTCATTTCTGACACACAAACAGTCTCTAGTCAATAGCCAAAAGGTTCTCACCAAACCATGGCAGACTTCGATCTCAACTCGGCCTTCATCCCGGCCCTGCACAAGCCGTCAGCCCTCCTCCCCATCGCAAAGCACCGCCAGGCCCTTCTTTATCTCATCGAGACCAAGCAGGTCACCATCGTCGTCGGCCAGACCGGCTCCGGCAAGACCACGCAGATCCCCCAGTTCCTCGAAGCCGCGGGATGGTGCGCAGACGGCAAGGTCATCGGCATCACGCAGCCGCGCCGCGTGGCGGCGACGACGGTCGCGCTCCGCGTCGCCGAGGAGGTTGGCTGTGAGATTGGTCAGCAGGTCGGCTACGCTATCCGGTTCGAGGACAACACCTCGGCGCAGACGCGCATCAAGTTCATGACGGACGGGCTGCTCATCAGGGAAGCACTTGTTGACCCCTTGCTGACGCGGTACTCTGTCATCATGGTTGACGAAGCCCACGAACGTTCCATCAGCACTGATATCCTCCTGGAACTACTCAAGAAGATTCTCAAGAAGAGGCCTGAGCTGCGCATCATCATCAGCAGTGCAACACTACAGGCTGAGGAGTTCTTAAAGTTCTTCACGACCTCTCCGGGGGACGAGCAGAAGAAGACGGTCACCGCTCCGGAGGACAAGGATGGAAAGGCCGATGCCGCTGACGACAATGAGAAGGGTGCAATTATTAGTCTGGAGGGCAGAGCACATCACGTCGACGTCCTTTATCTAGAATCACCAACAGAGGACTACGTCGAAAAGGCAATCTCCACAGTCTTCGACATACACACGACAGAGTCCGAAGGCGACATACTCGTCTTCCTCACAGGCCGTGAAGAAATCGACAACGCCGTCCAAGCCGTTGCCGACCGCCTGCTCGACCCGAACCAACCTCGCGGCCAGCAGACACTACAAGCGCTGCCCCTATACGCGGGTCTCTCGACAGAGCAACAAATGTACGTCTTTGATAAGCCTCCCGAGGGCACGCGCAAGGTCGTCTTCGCCACCAACATGGCCGAAGCCTCCATCACAATCGACGGCATCGTCTACGTAATCGACACGGGCTTCGCCAAGCTGCGCGCCTACAACCCACGGACGGGCATCGAGACCCTCACCTCGACCGCCATCTCAAAGGCCTCGGCGTCCCAGCGCGCCGGCCGCGCGGGACGCACCCGACCGGGCAAATGCTTCCGGCTCTACACGGAAGACGCCTACCTCGCCCTCCCCGAGGTCACCGTCCCCGAGATGCAGCGCTCCAACCTGGCGCCCTTTATCCTGCAACTTAAAGCCCTCGGCATCGACAACGTCCTGCGCTTCAACTTCCTCAGCCCGCCGCCGGCAGAGCTCATGGCCAAAGCCCTGGAGCTCCTCTACTCCTTGGGTGCCCTCGACGACTACGCCAAGCTGACGAAGCCGCTGGGCTACCGCATGGCTGAGCTGGCCGTCGAGCCGATGATGGCAAAAACTCTGCTCGGCGCGCAGTCGTTTGGGTGCATGAGCGAGATGCTCACCATCGCGGCCATGACGAGCGCCGGCGGAAACAACGTCTGGTTCCACCACGACGGCGAGAGGCAACAGATGGAGCTGTCGCGGCGCAAGTTCGCCGCCGACGAGGGCGACCACCTGACGCTGCTCAACGCCTACCAGGCCTTTGTGACAAAGGGCAGGAAGGAGTCAAAGTTCTGCCGGGACCACAACCTCAACTTCAAGACCATGACCAGGGCCGTCAGCATACGGGGCCAGCTGAAGCGGTACCTCGAAAAGTTCGGCATCGCCGCCGACAATGAGCAGCAGCAGCAGCAGTCCTTCGGCCCCGCGGGCTCACGGCAGCAGCATCAACAAAAGCACGACAACTCCACAAAGGCGGAGCAGATCCGGCGGTGCCTCACGACGGGCTACTTTGCGCACGCGGCGAGGATGCAACCGGACGGCACGTTCCGCAACGTCTCGGGCGAGACGACGCTCCACGCGCACCCCAGCTCCCTCATGTTCAACCGCAAGGCCGACTGGGTCATCTTCCACGAGGTCATGGAGACGGCCAACAAGATATTCATACGGGACATTACAAAAATCGAAAAGAATTGGCTGGTGGAGTACGCGCCCGAGTTCTACCAGCTGTCGGACAGTTCGGCGCGGCGGGCTCGCGACGAGGCTGAAGCTGAAACGCTATGAAAAAGGAGAAAAGAGCCCACGGGGGAGGATACTAGAATCACTGAATGGGATGTGAAGCTGGGGAGCAGTAGGAAGGGGGGAAGGGGCCCTTGTTTCTGTGGTACGAGGGCCGCGGAGGGCGAGATGAGACGAGATTAGGGCGACGGGGGTTCCGATGAAGCTGGGCAGTTGAGGTCTTGAAGAAGCGAAGATTCTGCCGTTTTATTTTGTAATCAGGACACTGAGCTATGCAGCCTATGTCAGGTTGGCAGAGCCTCACAGGGGCGGACATGAGGTTATTGCAACTTTCAGACTTATTCCTTGGCGGTGGAAACTTTGGACCATTGCCAATATCCGTACAGAAAATGGAAGCAAGGTAGAATATCCGCACTGCGTATTCGTACAAAGCCAGGACATTGAACTCACACGATTCAAGACTCGATAGTGTGCTGCGGCAGATATTTACAATTATTAGCACCTGAAGCAGGACCGTGTCGATACCGCTGTCCTTGATACAGCGGGCCGAGTGCAACCGTCGGACAGTGTCTACTATCCGTACAAGTTTATGGTGGCGTTGCAGGGCTCGAAATTGACCCGTTGGCCATAGAGTCTATGTGGAGTGTCCTACAGTCTGGAGTCAGCGTATCCGTACTCCGTAGAGATAACGATATCGATATACGGCGTACGGATAGCACATCTACATAATCAGTGGGTGATGTAAAGGTTGTGCAAGGAATCACAACTTTATGAAATGCATCTGTACAGTTGCCGATTATACGCCATTTATACGAGCGTTGCAGACTGTCGTGATAGCGGTCGACCACCAGGCATTGTGATTGGCAGCAAATCTAGAGCACACCAAGAGGACGGGGCCGATCAAGATTTCTCGGCCAATGACCAAGCTTTGGAGGATCCATCGAGATTAGCTTAATTACTCGACTGGGGGCAATGCCAATTGTGATTTGGGCTTTTTGACTGGTTCGCCAAGCCAGCAATGGGATTGACTTTTTCTCATCCTCATCAGCAGCGGCTGGTCTAGCCAATCTTGCCAGTTCAGAGCCGCCTCAACCCCTGAGTCTTGGATCGAGGGAATTCGACAACGTTGTTGGACACCTGGACAACTCGTGTGGCTTTATTGTTCTCGCACTCGTATGAGGTGACATTGTCTTGTCGGGTGGCACGTGAGACGAGACATACGTCTATGCTTGTTTCTCCGGAGACATGCTTACGTAGACATGCAGGCGGAATGCTTCTGTCTCTCTTCAAATAGAAGAACCCGGCGGGGACATTGGAACGTCGGTGGAATCAGGGACTGTCTTGCAAAAGGGGATGAGCACTCCCCTCTTTTCTTGGCATTGGCACCGCTGCTGGTAGTCTGGTAGCTGCACCGGCCAGAAACCCGATGACGGCTACTCTCGAGTCTCGGACGATAGAGCCGGACGAGAACACATCCAGCCGATTAGCAACAGGCCAACAGCCATGGCAGACACCTGGCTCGAATTCCCAAGGAACGGGACTGGCGCTGCAATGCATCGCGATGACATGCGACTCAGATCCCCCTCGATTATCGGTGCCGGCGGGAAAGGATACCAGATGCGATGCGCTGAGCCGGACAACTGCCGCATCTCTTTTTCTTACCGGCCCCTTAACCCGGCCCTCCGTTGTCGCTGCATGGATCCCCCGTAAAAGGGGAGAGGTGCGACGCGGCGACCGCATGATGCGAAGCTGGGAGGTCCTGGGTCAAGAGGGGAGCCTTTGTTTCCCTGTTTCTCTCTGATTTGAACGGAGGTGTTTACCCTTGAAAGAGGTGAGTGATCGTCGCTGGAGTTGCTACTGGGATTGCCCACCCCCACCCAGAGCCGAAATGACGGCTCGAGATGCCGCGTTGGTGTTGTTGTTGGACTCGCTGGCAATGCTACCGCTACCGTCTGCGTTTTGGTAAGCTCAGCCTGTTGTACAATGCGGTTGTCTACCCGGTGTTGCATGCAGAAACGCTGATTAGAGATGAGAAGCCGTGCGCGCGATTTAGTACGATGATGTGCGGATGCACTGTAAGACAAACTCTGATAAGAGACGCGCAAGTCAGGAGTTGCGTCGCACCGTTCAACACCATCAGCTAAGTATAGGTAGGCAGAGGCTTTCGGGGTTGCAAGCCTATCTATGCCTTTCGTAGGATGGTTTGGTTGATACACCAGAGGCATACTCCATACGCGTTGAGTGGTCCAATTGGGAGTTGGGCCAAAAGAGGTAAGCTGCAATGGGTAGTCGGCACGTCAAGAGAAGAGAGGCATAAACTGTCGTGGATCGCGAACGCGCCAGCGGGGGAGCATGGTGGAGAGCGGGCGGGAGCTCAGCCTCCTCGATGAGTTTATCAGGAGAGGTTCACCTTAACCCCGGGAGTGCCCGCCTGCCAGGCTGTGACCGTTGACGACCTCATTCCATGTCCAAGAATTGCAACTTGTCGCCGGCGTCGTCACCGTCCGGCAACCCCTTGGTAAAACCCGGGACCTGACTTCCAAGAGGAGAGACAAAGACCCGACGCAGCTTCAGGTAACGGCTCCAATTTCGGTAGAGACCTGGGCTGGGTCTGGGGGTTGGGTGTGGTTTCGCCAGCGAGACAACCTAGGCTCGAGTGTCGGCGGAGTCTCCCGATAAGTCTTGTCGATAGATTGGCTTGTGCCCCTGATGTTGGGTGCATAAGAAAACAACAAGATGGACAGCGTATTCATAAGAGTAGATATGAACGGATGCTGGGGATGTCTGAGACCAGTCTGGATCCAGAAACAGCGGCCGAGGATCTAGAAGCCACTGAAGCCACTAGTTCGTCGGGAAGATTAGCGCTGCAAGCCTGCGGTGTGGTTGTGCATGTACTTCTACCGCCTGCGCAGGCGGAGGTGGACAAATCGCAGAGTGAGGCCAGAGCATCTTGTCCGTCTGCTGCTTTGCCACATCTTTTGTCCCATTGAATATTTTTCGTCGGTAAGAATTGAGGTGGTGACAGTGTGAAGAAATCAACTCCTTGTTCGGACGAAACACCAAACATCGAAGTGTTGGGATGAAGGTGAGTAGGATACGGCGGGTGTTTGGGTGGAAATCGACCGTAAGAAGGGCAATCTTTTGCACGGTGTCTGTTGACCGTGCTGCTTCTGCTGACTGATGTTTGTTCACCGTCCCAACCATCCAATGTGATGCCATCTGATGAACGATCTCCACCCGTTGGAGCTTTCCAAGGTCGAGGAGGGGCGCGTTCCTGCAGCAAATCCCTGCGCTAGACGAGGAAAGCCCCTGTAGGACCATGCGCTTGTATCGATTTTAGTGCAACGCTTTTGGGATGGCACAGCCGGCATCAGCCAGTCAGCGGTCGCCCGTACCTGACTTGCGGCTGCTTGAGAGAACGGTTGGGTGTGGACAGCGCGGGTAGGAAGCCAATGGCGCGAGTTGATAGTATTCATGGAGATGTGGTAGCGGCGGTATACAGTGTTGCAGACCAGAATAGAACCAAATGGTAAGAGGAAGGCCGTCAGAAGCTAAATGGAGGTCCGAAGCGAATAATAATCATGCTGCCATACGAAAAGGCGATAGATACTCCTCCGTGTCCGTACGGATGAGAAGAAAGAGATGGAAGAAAACGAAGGAGAAGACGCAGAGGATTCGCGCTGCGTACACTAATCGTGCCGTGCTGCCCTCTGCGGGCTCGGACCAGGGGTGGTAAAAGTCGCGCCAGCCCCGGCTCATTTGAGGAAATTGCTTTTCATTCGCCCGTTTCCACAAAAAACGGTTCTTTCCAACCCCGGCCCATCACCCTGGGACTTTCCCAGGTTGACAGGCACCACCCCCCTTTTCATTACGGGTACGTACTGGGTAGTTTGTGTACGTACCGTGGGTACCGTCCGACCACAGTCCAGTGGTTCCTCCTCCTGAGTTTCTCACCCCCAATCTTTTTATTCGTTTTTCGTGTGCTACTGAACTTATTGAACTCCATTCGATCCAATGGTAGCACTCGCTCTCGTGTCTGGCGGTAGGACGGCGTGGGATGTCCACGATGGGTCTAGCTGTTATCATCCCGGCCATCTTACAAGGTCCAGGCTCACGGTCATGGGTCAATATTCAAGGTTCTCTCTCTCTCTGGCCCTCCTCTCCATGGTGCACATACAAGTAAGGAGCCAGCAAGGAGCCGTCAGCGAAGGAGCAGAGGAGCAAAGGAACAGCAGTAAGAGTGAGCTGTCCAGGTCTAGGTCTAGGTCCAGGTACAGGTCCATGTACAGGTCCAGGTCAAGGCTGCGTGCAAGAGTCGTTGTCTCGTTGGTCCGTTGCTGCTCAATCTCCTCCTCCCCGTCCGCTCGTTGGCTCGTTTCGCTTCGCTTCGCTTGACCTGCAGCCTGTCGCTGCTTGCTGCTGTGGACTGTGGACTGTGGACTCAGGACTGTGGTGGCTCGTCTCCGTCTTCTTTCGCTCCCACTCTCGGATCTCCTTCTCGCCTCTCTTTTGCTCGCCCTCACCCCCAAAAGGGACTTACTCTCGTTCCTCGTTCCTTCCGTCCCTACTCCCCCCCATCGTCGGTCGTTACTCTGATCTTCCGAGGCCAGTGACATCCGCCGACTTTCCACTTTCCACAATCCTCTCTCTGCCTGCCAGCGGGCTCGTCACTCTTTTTAGGAACATCGTGGATTGTGTGAATGGATCACCGGATCTGACCGACCCGTCAAACTCACTCCAAAGTCGTTCTTTACTCAACACAACAAAACCCCAAACCCAGAATTCCACCGACCGAATATTTTCGGTGGTAGTCACTCTTTTTGTATACAGCATCCCGCCCAGGCGTTCGGAACCGTTCACTTCGCACGAGATTCGATTCAAAACTCGAATCCTTCGACCACTTGCTTTGGTGTCTTGACATTCAACCAATTGTCCCAACCATCCCCTCGAAATCCGTCCCGACTCCCCGATACGATCTTTAGTCCGGTAATGGTGGCATAGTGGTAATTTCAATCAGTGAAGGAAGGAGAAATTCTCGAGATCAACCGTCGACCTCAAAGAGAGAACCGGTTATCAGTGGAGAGTTGCTTCAAGGTACCACGGTATCTTTCTGTCGAAACCGCACAATTTCAAAATGGCTTCGTTCAACGCCAATGGCTACGTGATGGCCTCCCGAATTCCCATCCGGGACGTCCAGCCGGTCAACAACGAGCGATCTGTCGCGCCCCTCCGAATCGTCTCTCGTATCATTGGAACGAGAGAAACCTGTACCGGCTCAGCCAGTCAGTGTGAGAAGCCAGTCGACCCTTCTACCCTCACATTGCCCATCACTCTTGGCGTCACGTAGGTCTCAACGAGTTCTCGAGTAGGGTATGTGTACGAATGTGCTGACTGTTCCTAGGATCCCCATCGTTGGCGCTTTGTGTTTGCTGTTCTACTTCCACCGAAGAAATGTCAAGAGGCAAAAACAGGAGGATGCGACTGATCCCAACCGAGGCCTGGATTTCGGACTTGGCGAGACCAGTTCTGATAAGGGTGGAAAAGGAAAGCGCAAGAGCATGATGTTCCGTGAGAAGGGAATGGGCCTCGACACGAAGCATCGTCAACTGTCTATGGACATGAACCTGGACAGCCCCTACCTTCTTCCCCCCGGTCTTCAGAGCTCGCGTGAGTCTCTGCACTCTCTCGCGAGAACCCTCCACAGCGAGGCAGACCCCTACCGGCCCGTGGCTGGGTACACCGGCAGCGATGTTGGTTCCATCCGATCGTACAAGCCCGATGGTGCTTCCGTTTACACCAAATCGACGAGCCGACGCGGTTCCGCCATGACTGGTCGCACCACGATGACCCAGAACACCTTGCCTCCTAGGCAAAACTCCCTTCCCAGGCCTCCTCCTGCGACGGCAGACCCCTTCGCCACGCCCAAGTCTAGGTCTGGCTCCCCCGCCCTCGAAATCATGACGACAAATTCTCCCGTCGTCTTGTCCCCCACATCCCCGGTCATTCGAAGCCCGCTCATCGCTGAGCCTATTATTCCCAAGATCGAGACCATGCCGTACCCCGATGACAGAAACGGCGGTTCCCTTCCTCAGATTCCCGACGTCCCGGAACCTGCCCCTGTCGCTCAAAGGGGACTTCCCAGCAACCCTCGTCCATCCGCCAAGAACCCGTCCATCCCCGAAGTTCAAGAGCTGGATAGCACACCGGCCGCAGCCCCCGTTGGCCTTGGTCTCGACGACATGAACTTCCCTGCCCAGAAGAATGCTGCTCCCTCAACACTCCCGACTATTGTGCCCGAGGAAACGAATGCTTACGACCGCGAAAGCTATTACGACTATGACTTTGAGGATAGAGGCCGATCTCAGAGACGCTCTGTGGATATGAACGACAACCGCATGTCACGTGCACTTGGTGTTCCGGGTCAGGACGCCAAGAGGCTTTCAGTTGGCTTCCGACCCCTGCCTCCTGATGAGGTGACTGAGTCCGAGGACCCTGAAGAGCGTGCCAACAGAATCAGATCATTCTACAAGGAGTACTTCGACCCCGACAACCCGCACGCTGGCCAAGCCCCGCCTCCCATGCCTCAAGGACCTCGCGGACCCCCCAGAGGACCTCCTCCTGGCGGCCCTCAATACTATGAGGACTACGACCCTAGCTACAACGGTGGTCCCGGCGGCGATGCCTACTTCGACCCTGAGAGCAACTCGTTCGTCATGCCCTACGCTCAGCCCGTCACTCGTCGTGCAATGACGCCACCACCCAGCGGCTCCCGCTTCCGTGGCCCGCCTCCTCCCCGAGCTATGCATGGTTCCATAGGCGGTCACATGGCCAGCCCCGGCCCCGGTGGCAGACGTCCTCCTCCTCGTGCCGGCTCGGCCATGTCCAGCCGCCTTGGACCTTCTCGACCGGGATCCGACATGTCCAGCCAGTACACTCCTCGGCCTGGCTCTTCAGTGTCCAACAGGACCGCTGGGGGTAGACCCAAGCCCAAGGGACCTCCCCCTGCCGACTTGACTACCATGCCCAACCCGTCCAAGCTCAAGGATGACTCCTTCTCCATCCTGAACCCTCTCGACTTCGCTCCTCCCGAGACCTTCTCTTCCCGCGCCCGTGGCCGTTCCCAGAGTCCGGCGGGTGAGAGACGCCCTTACGCAGCGCCTTCAATTCCTGTTCATTCCCCATTGGTTAGCAGCTTCGAAGAGATGCCTGCCATGCCCAGCCCGTAAGTTATCCCTTATAGACACTGGAAAGATGTAGAAGTCACTAACAGTTGGACAGTCACTTGCTGCGTAAATCCGGAACCTTCACTGGTCTCGACTTTGCTCCTCCCCGCAAGTTCAAGGACGGTGACAACATGAGCGATGCTGGTAGCATTCGTAGCAACCGTAGTGGTATCTCGGCTGTCCAACAGGCCGCTCTCCGCAGCGGTGCCGGCAGAGTCAGCCGTCTGCCCGGTGACACTGTTTTCACGCCAACGGCCCTCGATGACCAGCTCAAGCCGCAATGGGGCATGCGTCCTTAAATGGCGAACGACGTTTTTCTGCTTGTTGATATCATTACTTTGACTTCCGCGTATTGATACGGCAGCGCCGAATCGACGGTCACGACTTTTGAGCCTATTCGCACGCACTGGGATTATCCATGTACATGAATTTGCGCGGACAAACAAAAAGAGGAGCCTTTCTACCCTTACCTTTATGGGATTTGGAATTTTGCATAACGGTGTTATTTCTTCTCGCATTTAGTAGCGATATACTGCTAATGTCTTTTTGTGTTGAAACCCTTTTTCTGTTTCGCTGCGTGGAGTATTTGGGTCACGACAAATAGTTTTTATTTTTTAAACCAGCCCTGTCCCTCAGCCTCATTTGGCAACATGGCGGGAGGGTTTGCATATAGAAAAAGGGCTCCGGGACATTGCTACCGTATGCCAACCATCAACAACTAGATGATGAATACTACAGAAAGTATACTGAGATTTGTGTCTCGTCTTGTGTTGCAAAGTGATGGTTTTCTCTTCCTGTATATGTGGGCTGTAACACGCATGTATGGCCTAACTCGAGGCATAGGAAGCCCCGTGACTACCATGACCTACTTCCATGATACTACACCACATTAGTGCTCACAAAGACACCGGCATATCAAAGTCGGAAGGCCTCGTAGGGTAGACGAGGCTACAGGGTAACCGTACGCCGTACGGAGAACCCTCCCCAAAGGCATCGGTAGATCTGACGGCCTCCAATGCTCCGGCGCTCTGGAAATGATTTAAGCCTAATCACATCGTGAATCGGCGGATGCTAGGACACAATCAGATAGAACACAGCCGCCGCCACAGCCCCCACGGTGCAAACGGAAAGTTTTGTCGCAAGATAGAGCAGATGCCCCGGCGCCGCTTGGTCGGGCATGCGCTGGCCGGGGTATCGATTACCAAGGCAAGTCTAGTCTTGTCTAGTCAGAGTCTGACTGCATCTCGGTTCCAAGCAGTTCGATGAGGAATCACGAGATGTTTGTCTTTCGAGAAGGATGAATGCTCCGTCAGTAAGCAACGTACTGTACAACTGCCGTGCTGCGTACGGTTGTTTTCCTCTTGGAGACGAGTCAGCAATCAATAACCATCCGCAGCCCGTTCGCCTCCCGATTTTTGCATGGAAAAGCCAGCCCTTTGGCGCGCATACGGACACGACACTTGGCGTGCTTCGAGAAAAGACGGGATGGCAATCAGATGCCCTTCGAAAGCATCCGGAAAGAGCTTAATGGTAAAGTTATTTTTACATCGGACACTTGGATGGCTTGTGTGGAGCGGGAAGGCTCACGCTTGACCCAAGCTTACAGTCAGTGGCGTTTGCTCGAAGGGAGGGCACCCGTAAGCCAATGGGTGGAGGGGCTGGGTTGCTTTCTAAAATGCGGCATTTGGGAGGGCATAGCCATACGTGTGGCGGTTTTGGAGACGAGACCAGAGCTCGGGTAGCGTGGCTCCATGGTGGAAGCCAATTGAGCGCCGTTAAGCTAATCAAGTGTCAATCGGACAGATGTAAAATACAAACAGGAGACAAAGAACGATCCTTTGAAGGGGCTCTTGTAGAGGGCGATTTGCTGTCTAGGATTCCTGGTTGCTAATTCGATGAGCCAAACGGTGTCGGCACGGATCTGGCAAACAACATCGAGAGACTTTGAGTCTATGCAGGCGTTGCGCTACCTCGCCTCGTGCCGAATGTACGTTTCCGGTGAGGTGGCGTGAGAAAGAGCACATCGAAGGTTCTTTCTGTCGGTGAGAGAGTCCCGGCAGCTTGACGGCGCACACGGTGACGTGACACTACACAGGCCAGACACGCATAGTCGACTGCATTAAGGCAATCCAACCTACGGGTACCGGCATCGCCATCATCGGACTTGGTCCGAAGAAAGTTGTGTAGGAACGATTGAATCTGGTCGGCGAGGGGTCTCGTCGTCGAATTGAGGACAAAAGCCGAAGTCCGGATGTTGGGATGAAGTGATCCCAAGACCCTTTTGCAAAATGCTTTCCAAGGACAGAGGCTGAGAGGTCGACGAAGTTTGGGTCAATGCTCCGTGAGTGTGGAGGGAAGTGAGGGGAACATGACGTTGGTTGCTGTAGATCTTTTGCTTTCAAGAGCCCTGCCCGAACCGAGGGCATATTGTTCCTGTTGTTATTATGCCAATACGCCATGAGATCTTGACATCCTGGGGCCAAACTTGACAATGTATCCCGGCTGAAGTTTGCGGATGCTGAGCCAGGGTTGGGCACAATGGACGGACGTCATGTGGAGGTATATGTGCCATTGAAGTCATAATAGCAGGCCATTACGATGACAGAGCCCGCCATACTGGCTATTACGACCGATTGCATTCGAACTCAAACTGCCTGAATACTCGCGCAAAGAAAGAAGGCGAGCATTGTGGCAGCGTCGATTTGAAGCCAAGAGGCTCTGAGTTGTGACCTGCAGACAGGCAGCGGTGGGCTTGTTTGATCCGGACACTGGACTATGCAGCTTCGAGGCTTGTGTGACAAGCTTCCGGAGCGGTCTGGATGACAGAAGACTCTGACCACCAATGCTACAGAGAATTCAGGAGGGATGGAACCGTAACCTTTGGCCGAATAAGCTCGTGCCAATGGCATAGTGACGGAGAAACGACCGGTTGTTAGTCAGACATGCGTTATCGAAGAAAGCAGCCCTTGAAGCATCAGCAATGTCATGCCAGCTACCCTTTGCCAAGCCAGCATTCGAGCCTTTGTCGACTTAAGGTTGTTGTCCAGCTTCAGCCGGAAGGTTCAAGCTCTCCTCCGACGTGTGCTGCCACGATGGTTGTTAGCCGCCACAGGGCCGGCCGGGTGTGTTTTGACCCGGCCGGCTTTCGTTCGAAATCGTCCTGCCGCGCTTCGACAGCTGGCTGAGATGCATTCTGGCAGTCTGGTGCTTGGTTAAGCAGGCCAAACCCCCGCCGATCTGACCAACAGAAGCGCGCAATTGACGCCATACGGCTACCTTTGTAGATCGATGGGATCGCACAACAGATCGAATGCGGTGCTCGCCGAGAAAAAGGCACCGGCTGAGGATCAGCAGCCTCTATTTTGGGGGATACGAACGGCTCCACAGGTGCCGAGAAGCCTGTATCCGTAGAGGGAGGCAAACGCTCAGGTCGGTAAAGGCTGAACCTGGTCGCTATAGAGAAGACGTAAGGGAGACCAAGGTGGATATGAGCTTCAAAATAAACAAGTCATCAGTAGAGTCGGTGTGTTCGACAATAGCGGGTGGGTTGAATGGTGAGAGCCAAGAGATAACAGAGTCTCGGAGGCATGCATCGAAATTTGAACTTCAAAACTTGTGAGGATTGGTTGTTGGTGAAGGTCGGTGACATTCCTGACCGGGCGTTGGCTTGTTTGAGACATCCCAACGTGGACTGAGACCAAGATACGTATTCGTGGACATGAGCCAACTGGCACTTGCCGACTTGTGACCCTTTGAGACTGTGTCCGTATGTTCGTACGGAGAAGATTGACCACCAGAAGGGTTGCGATGCGTTTCTTCGCTTCTTCTTCTTTGGAAGCAAATGATGCCATCTCGAGTGTTGCAGACGGTGGACCTGGCAGTCGGCGTGGTCTACCAGGAAGGTGCATGCTCGCTGGGCAGGGGAAATTAACCAGTTCTGGAGCTCACGACCGTCACTCTGGATACGAGAGGGAGCGAACGGGCCCTCCGGTGTCCCCAGCAAAGCGAAGCGAACTCGCGAATCCCGTTGATGAGGTCAATTTTCTCCACGGGCCCGAGGGAGAGGACTCCAGTCTCCAGGCGTCCAGAGTTAAAAGTCCAGAGCGAGGCACGGCCGGTGCAGGGACTGGTTGAAGGATGGCCTGCCGGGATGTTTTCGCACAGCAAGATACCATAGTGGAGGTTGACTGGATTTTGATTGCGGGCTGTCCGTCGTCTGAAGTATTTAGGTTTGAAAGTTGGCTAGAGTCTGCAAAATTGAGAAGAGAGAGTAGATGAGGTGAAACCTGACCGACATGCCTTGCTTTGAGTTGCTTGCGTATCTACCTGGCGTGTCGCGTTTGAGGTGTCGTATTTTGCATTCATGTCTCTGGTTGAAAGGTGTCGAAGCCGCGACATCGGGAACGCACATCAGGGACATCAGGGACCATGTGCGGCTGCGTTGCGGCATACCTGACGGTTCTGACCTGAGGGCTAAGGCCGGTGGCCCAGGTGGGTTTGGAGGCAGCTGGTTGCTGGTCTTTCCCTCTTTGGCCCGTTTGGATCAGGAACAAGACTCGGCAGGCATTCGACGATATGAAAGGAAGCAGCCAACATTCCCGGACTGGAAGCATCCGCTGCCGCCTTCCGGGAGTACTCTCCATTCGTCCTTGGTGCTGTGATGTATGGCCAGCTCTAAGGAGCTCCAAGGGCTTTAGGCTTTTGTTCGTGCCAGGGGTCCCTCGAGGCTCGGGGAGTTTGTGGTCCCTGCGAGCCAGAGAGGGCAGCGGCTTAGCAATTCGCAATCTCAACGGGCATGTACCGCAGCAGTTGCGAAATGACTGAGACACCGGAGATGATGGACGGCAGAAGCCGCCTTGTTCCTCTCGAGCACGCGACAAGAGTTAAGACTTTGGGCAGAAGCTGTCAATTTTTCAAGACTCGAGACTCGGAGAACTCAATAGGGCTAAAATTGTTCTCTCTGCTGTCCGCATAGATAGGTATTCATATGGCTGAGCCCATTCATTGCAACGTGCCATGCATACCTCGCGCGAACTACAGATCGGCCCTTTCTACAAGGTACTTTGTCCTAGTCAGGTTCTCTCTAGGTCCGCTCCACTGGCAGATGCGTCAGTAACATCGGGGTGATACTTATGTCCAGCGCAAGTTTTGTAGGAGAGATCATGTACTGTCTTGGCTGACCTGAGGCTGGTCGCAGCATAGCTCAGCGCCCTGCCACTGAAGCAGCGGCCCTAACTCCCGCTGAGCCACCCACCCGCACCTTAAGGCAACGGTGGATGGTCAGGTCAGTCTACCCAGTCAGGCCAGTACCACTGAGTTTCCTTTTTTGGTCTTCCATTTGCAGTCTGACTTTGACCTGCACTGGAGGCTGGCTTGCAGTATCCGTACATTGCAGCTTGGAGCTAGATGTTCGGACACGAGACAGGCACACGCCAGCAGGGTTGACGGTCGTGACTTCCAATGATTCCCTGGGACGTAAATGGCAGGGCGGGAGGGCTGTGAAGAAGGAGGAAGGGGAGGTCGGTCCACTTCACTTGGGCAGGCACGCTGCACGAAGAGGTGCTGGATTGCTCTGGCTCAAAACATACATATTTCCGCGCCTTCCTCTGCCGCTCCTTCGGAGCTGCCCTCCCCCCTTCTGCCTCCCTCCCTTTCGCTGCCTTCCCGTCAATATCCTTCCACCCCCGTCCCCCGGCCGTCCTTGCTCGTCAACCCCCTCCCCGGTCCTTCCTCTTTCACTTTCAATTGGCAGCGGCATCAGCATCAGTCCGCATCCTTCCAAGGAAATCGCGACCTTGCTCTCCTCCTTCCTCCTCTTTCCCCTCTTCCCCATTTCTTCCTACTTTTCACCTTCCTCCTCTCGCTCTAACTCTTGCAAATTCTCTGCCCTGTCCTTTTGCTTTTTCCCACTTTCCTGTGACGCCGTCGCCAATCGATCCCACTTCGTCACTGAGGATCGACAATACTACAATACTCGCGCGGCACTACGGAATACGCCTTGGACGGATACTGCCCGCGACCAGGTACCGTCTCGTCTGTACGAACCAAGCGAAGTAGGGCCCTGCCAACCGCCGAACCCAACGCCGACCCGCGCAGTAGCCAGGAGACGGTCCGTCTTGGGAGCTCCCTCACAGGCACACAGAGGCACCACCTGAACCTGACTCAGCCACCCGCGCCAATAATCAACCGTTCGTCTTGTCTGAACACCCGTCGCTCCATCGCCGTTGTTACCGCCCAGACGCGACAATTACTTCCCACAATTTTCCAAAGAAACTCTTGACCAAGATTCCATCCTCGCCTCGACACCCCGACGCACCCGTCAATTGTGTGTCGCTTTACCCTGAACCGAGGCCTCGAACCGCCGCCAGTTCCACGTGTATCGCCAAACTTGGCCTCTCACACTGCTTGGTTGAGAGTCGACCGCACTTTTAAATCGACTAAATCGACGAGTTGTTCATTGCAGAATCGCTTGTATTGAAACACCTCCCTTTCTCCGCCCTGCAAGCTACGTGTGAGCCAATCGCTCTCATTGGAGGTACGTTGTTCGACGCTGTGCTTCCCAGATTTTGCCGAGTGCACTACGGCATCTCTGCCGATCATCAATTTGCCTCCCAAGAAACCTGCTGCATCTGTTGTGTTAGTTGCGCACAAAATGATTGGGTCTTTGGCCTTGGTTGCCAATTGCCCAACCCCTCGTCCCATCTCAGCTCTTCCGTCGTCTTGTTTTGTTGAATACTCATCATCCCTTGTTCGGAGTCTGGCGATGCTATCAAAGCTGCTCCCTCACCAGTCGCTAATATGTCTTCACCACCTAGTCAACCACCACAGATCTTGCTGAGACAAGAAAACACAATGTCGTCGAATGCTACGACCCCGGGCGGCGAGGCCACAACGGCTCCCGCCGCGACACCGGGCACTTCCGCACCCGCAGAGACGAGCGCCGCCGCCGTCACCACCACTCCTCCGGCAGAGACCTCCGCAGCAGCGGCTCCTACCACCGCGCAACAACCCACGACGCAGCAAACCTCCGCGGCAGCAGCACCAACCACGTCTCAAGCTCCGGCAGCGACGACTTCTGCGGCAGCTGCACCAACTACTCAGCAGCAGAACACGACTCCGACTACTCAAGCTGCCGAAAGTACTACCCAGCAACAGCAAACTACCCTAGTCGCGACTACTGTCGTCATCACGCCGACCGAAGCGGGAGGTCAGACAAGCACCATCTTTACCGTCATCACTCAGACCAAGGGTGTCACGCAGACCGGCACTGCTGCCAGCTCATCTGCTTCCGCTACGGCATCAGGCGGCGCCATCAACTCCGGCGGTAATTCCAAGGGCGGTCTTGGTAACGGGGGCACTATCGCGGTTGCTGTTGTCGTACCCATCGCTGCTGTTGCCCTGCTCATCCTGGCTGGCCTGTACTTCTGGAGAAAGAGGAAGCAGCGCAAGGACGCCGAGGAGGAGCGACGAAAGGAGGTCGAGGACTATGCCTACAACCCGAACGCGGACCCCACAATCCCGTCCCTTGGCGATGGCGGCTCATACGAAATGAAGGAAGATGCGGCCTCATCCGGATACCGTGGTTGGGGTTCTACCACTCTTGCCGGCTCCACCGGACGTAAGGCGTCCACGACCATGTCCGGAGGCAACACAGGTGCGGCATACTCGGATACAACTTCACCCAGCCATGGAGGAACTGACAACCGTTCAGGAGAGCCTTTGATCAACGACGGCTCGTACTCACCTGATGGCGAAATTCTTGGCGCCATGGGCCCTTCAGCAGCCATGAACCGTGGAGGCGGTGTTCAACGTGGACCTTCCAATGCGTCATCTTCCTACAGCGCAGGGAACCACTCAGATACCTCTGACGGAATCGGCATGGCATACAGCGGCGGCGGCAGCAACGGCAATGGCAATGGGAATGGTTACTACGATCAGTACGCCAACAACCCGTACTCTGACAGCCCTTACGCCAACCCGGCTACTGAGCTCCCCGGCCAACCGGTCATCCGCGACAACCCAGCTCGTCGCAACACTCGGATTGAGAACCCCTCGCACTATCCCCAACAGCAAAACGCTGGTATTTCCCAGAACTTCTAGACAAGGTCTGGTGTGTTACTCCAAAAGTTTTGTTTGTTGCTTATTAGTCTGCTGGGGTTCTGTTCCGAAGATACCCACCCTCCCCATCAGACCAACGATCTCGAAATCGAGAAACACATACGGCGTTACGGATTTACGGCACCATGCGACACGGTGGCATTTTATTGCCACGCGACGCTTCTCTTACTTTTAATATTGTTTACTCCGTTGCCTTGCCTGGCGTATTCCAAACGTAATGGCTCGCCCAATGCCACGGAGATCATAATCCACTTCGACGCACATGATTTATTCGTCATATACATAAACATCTTGGGGATTTATATCGACCCATGCTATCCACACCGTGTTGCTCCAGTTTAATCTGTTGTACATTGCATGCTCATGAAGGGCGCGCACAGGCAACATGATTTGCTAACGTCTTTCCTGGGCAAAGCAACCAAGGGTACCTTGGCAGCAAGAAACGAGCTTCCGCACAAGAAAAGTTGGAGGATTCTAGTATAGTAGTAGGTAGTTAAAGAGTAGGATAGTCGACATCTCTAAGATTTCGAAACACAGTCTCATATAGACACGTATGAATGAATATTCCTTTGTCAATCTACTCTTGCATTCATATCGCTTTATCGTGCCGTTTCACTATAAGCCACCTAAGCGCAGAGTCTGTATCTGGTAACACGAACTTTTCCACTAACAATCGACTCGTCTGTAACAGATTCTCCTACAACTTGGACCCCTCCTCTTCAACAACACCCATACCCTCGCTCAGCCCAACCCGATCCCACCAGAACCGGAACTGCCTCACCTCGGCCTCGGTCAGCGTCCGCACGCGCGCCACGGTGCCCCGGCGCCGCTGGCCCAGACGGCCCATGAGCTCGTCGTTGCCCTCGCCAAAGACGAGGATCGTGCCCCTCGTCTCGGTGGGGTCGTCTGCCGGTCGCGGGATGTAGTCGTCCGCGGCGGTGTCGCCAAAGGGGGAGATGAAGGGGGGCCAGGAGACGTCGTTTGAGGTTGGGCCCGGGTTGTCATGGCTGGTATCG